CTGATGCAACTTTCACCATTTGGAAGATGGATAGAGGTAGCGAAAGAAAGAGATACCCACAAGCTACCGAATTCGCAAGCACGAAAAACCTGTAACAATAAAAAAAGGTGCATCGACAACATAGTTCAACTAGTTAAAACATAAGCAAGAAATTCGAGGTTCGAGATTACACAAACATAGGAAGATCCTTATAAACGGCTTTGAATTGAGTCGACTGAGTTGAAAATGGGAGAGTTTGATTGGCTGTGCCCATTACAATGGCACTGCACAGAGTACCCATGAGTGCCACTACTCTCAGCACTAAGTCCACTATGGGCAGCCCTCTCTTAGCCCCTCCGCCTCCAAATGGGTATCTAATTTTTGAACCCAATGGCACTTCACCCTCTGATTTTGCCTTTGACTGATCCATTTCCATTTTGAAAGTCTTGTAAATTCTTTCAATGCTTTAAGTACTGTGTGTTTGCAAGTGGGATTTGCTTAAAGTGACAAACAAAAGTGGGTATTAGGTGAATTTGTGATGTGTTTGAGGATTTCATATGATCTAAGCCATAGTGGATTTGTAATTATGCCATTGGAGGTTATGAGCTAGCTTGGCTGTTTTCTTTTTGAAGTTATTTTACTGGCTCTCGCTTTAGACTCGTGTTTATCTTGATTACTTCATTAAATATTTTTAATCCAAGATTATCTCCTATTTCTTTTTCCGATTTAACTTAAAAGTTTTTAAAATGTGTGTGGTAAGTAGAAGTTTTCACGCTCTTATAAAGAAGGCTTCCTTCCTCTCTTCAATCGATGTGATATCTCACAATCTACTCCCTTCAGAGTCCGGCATCCTCTCTGGCACACCACCTGGTGTCCACTTTTCTTTGGGGCTCAGCGTCCTTGCTGGTATATCACTCTGTGTTTGGCTTTAATACTATTTGTAATAGCCCAAGTCCACCACTAGTACATATTGTCCCTTTTGCGCTTTCCCTCTTGAGCTTCTTCTCAAAGTTTTTAAAACGTGGAGAGATTTCCACACCCTTGTAAAAAAGTGCTTCGTTTTTCTCCCCAACCCATGTGGGATCTCACAGTAACAATGGATGATAGTGTAAGGAATAAAACAAGTTGAATTTGAGGGTAATTTTAGAATAAACGTTGTTTAGGAGATACTTAGAGTGCGAGTTTGCTTTAGGGTAAAGTCCTGCTTGAATTAGAGAGGAATTGCCAAGCTCGAGAAACCAACGAGTTTAGTCAGGTCAGAATGTTTCTAAGGCTCGACTTCTTAAACCTATTGCACTCGAAACGTTTTTTTAGTAAAAGTACTAAAATTACGAGAATAGTAACTAGTAATATATTTATTCATTCAAAAGTGTTTCGGTCACCTCAAGTGTACTGGATGGTAGTGTAAGAAATAAAACGAGGTGAATTTAAGGGTATTTTTGGAATGAACATTGTTCGGGAGATATTTAGGGTAAAGTCCCACTTGTACATGAGAGGAGTTGCTAAACTCGAGAAACCAACGAAATTGAATAGTCAGGTCAGCATTTTCTCTAAGGCTCGACTTCTTGAACCTACTGGACTCCAAATATGATTTTTACGAACCCGTTCTTTATAAACCTTCTATTTAAACTCCAAAATTTATAATAATATTTAGTAACATATTTATTTAATGTTTGGTTCTTAAGCAAAATATTTTTAAATATTTTTGACGTTTTAAAAAAAGACAAATGTACTTGGGCCCAAAATGGAAAGCCCAATAATCACAATGGACGAGCAGCCCAGAATATGCGGCCCACGAACGCCATCACCAACCACGCGCTCTGATCTCATGTAATTCGCGTAAATTCTAGGCTTTGTTTGGTTGGTAAACGCGAACACTGTTCAATAAGACACTGGATTTAGGCAGAGGAAAGGAACAATCAGTATACACCGGATTTGCTCCTGATCCGTCCTCGGATCCTCCGCCTCTAATTTATTCATCAGTTCTGATTGCGATCTTAGCCTCCGGTAATGTAAGTTATTCATCTAAACCTTCTTCGGATTTTGGATTATGAGATCGAACAACGATGGTCAATTAAATGACTGATAATCCAATTTCGTTGTTATCAGATTGTTATTGTTTTGGCACTGTCCATTCATTTCCTTAAGTCTGTGGAAGTTCGTTTGTAATTTAAATATCATGATTGCTTCTTGCAGGTGAAGTTCATATTGGTTTAGATTTAGCTCCATTAATGAATCGGATTAGTTCTGTTTGGACATGGGAGCAATGATATTGGGGTGAAGGTTTTGAATTCGAATTTCTTTTTTGTGGGTTGATTAAATACGTGATTTAATTTGCTACGTACGATTCTGGAAAATGTAAATTTGCTTAGGGTGATTGTGGAAACTGTACGATTGACAGAGCATCATAACTCATAAGATTTATTCCAAATTCCAATTTGAGGCATTGTTTTTTTCGGTCAATAATGGTACGAAAGAGGCTTTCTCTTTGTCGTTTTCTCCTACGTTTCGTGTTTGGTTGAAATAATTGACTTGTCATACTTCTCTATAAAATCCGGCATTTGGACCAATTACATCATTTCGGCTTCTGGTAAGTATATCATTTGAATTGATTTGGACCCGGATGTGTAATTATCTTGATGTGATTGAGTTAAAATTTTCTAGAAATGGTAGCATTTTCGTGCGAAATGTTCTCTGTCAAAGGGCGCTTTACTTGTGAATGTGATTATGGAATTTGAACTGGGTTTTTTAGTCCGTGATTGCAGGTAAATGATTTTTGAGCCACCCTTTTGACTTGTTTCATCACTTGCAGTTTATATACCGTTCACCTTCGCCCATAGTTTTTGTAACGAAGGGGAACAATGTCAGAAAAAAATATCGAGGAAGTTAAGGAGAAAGTCATTGCTGATATTCTCCCACAAAATCAAGATCATTGTGAGAAGTTTGAGGAAGAAATACCAGGCCCAGATAAGAAAGAAGAAAATCCTATGCCTTCACAGCAGAAAGAGGTTAGTGCTGTTTCTGTATTTATGGAGTGGTTCTCTTGTGTGTCTGTCAATGGAGAATTTTAAAATTCTCGATGTTTGAAATGTAATGTCTGTTATTTCCAGTTTTCTCAGTGATCTCAAATAGGAAATCTCTGATTTTTATGCAAAGATTTGGATTTTGTAAGCGACTTTTTCTTGCCTTTGCATAAAGCTGGGCCATAAAGGGGAAAAGCTAAATAAAAATAGCCTTGATGAGGCAGGAGAAAAAATGTTTCTTTCCCTGTCTTGTTCCTGTTTTTTACTGCATGTTGGTCATGTGGTGTCATCAAGGTTTGTCATAATTTGTTTGGTAACAGTCTGATATAATGGTTTTAAACAGGAGGAGATCATCAAGAAGAAGTACGGAGGAATAGTGCCAAAGAAGCCTCCTTTGATATCAAAAGTAATTATTGGTTATCTTTCAGTTACCCTTTTGGGATTTTACTTCCATTCAAGTCCTCTATGGTGACAACTGCAAATGTTCCTTTTGTCTAGGACCATGAACGTGCCTTTTTCGATTCTGCTGATTGGGCATTAGGGAAGGTACTCCTTTAGATTTTACTAAAACTGCTAATTGGATGCTAAATATAAAGATATGGATGAAATTTTGATCTTGATTGGATGACCCAAGTTTGATGCGATTGTCTTGCCTAACTACTCCTCCTTTGACTTCTGCAACAGCAAGGAGGTGCTCAAAAACCTAAAGGACCACTTGAAGCACTCAGGCCAAAGTTGCAGGTGCGTGATGTTTAATAAATAATAAAGAGTGGGGAATCTTTGTCTGTTCATTATACTTGACGTGCTTTTTAAATATATAAATCGCCTTTTGATCTTCAGTAATAGTTTAGTAGCTGTTAATCATTCTCCCACTTGCTAAAAACAAACCAAATGTTTAATGTGAAGTTGATTGGTCTTCCCAAAAAACAACTGAAACTTTAGTAAGATAATGTACTCTCAGTAATTACCATAGCTGGATTGTGTCTTCCAAACTAATCTTTCCTGGATGTGATCTGAAAGACCACTTGGAATCCATACAGGATATTACGTCTTTGCTTAAATTGGTGTGGTTTGCTTTCCTTTGAGACTTGTCTTTCCTCTCCCTGTGCTTCTTTTCATTGCAAAAAAGAGGGAAAAAGAAGAACGAAAAATAAAGCACCATTTCATATGGAATGTGTTGTTCATTGTGTTCGTATATTTAGTGGAGTGATTATGCTGTTTGTAGTATTTGCTGATGTTTTTATTACCATTGTTGTTATGATCAGCCAACCCCACATCAGCAAGTCCGTTCAAGGCGCTCGGCTTATGCTCCTGCTGATGCCGATGATGGTGAAGGTATGAGCCACATTTTCTCTTTTTTTACAGCCAAGACTTCTAATTTACGACAGGAAATGATAAATACTTTGCTTTATTCTTCGGCTTCCCGCAGGGCATGAAGGCAATATCGACCCCGCTGCAGAAAAGGATCAGCAACCCACATTAGAAAGTGGCTGTAATGATCACGTTTCTGAGGAAAAAGCGTGCAAGGAATAGCTGTCTGGACGAAAGAACTTGATCTATTCATACTGAGCAGCATCCTAAAGTCCTTTAATGAAACCAATAAGTGAAACATGCTGAATTTTAAGCTTCACTTGTTACGATTGATCATGCTATGTGGGACGTTGTAATGCTTTCTATGCTTTGAAGTTATGAATTCAATCCTTAGATTGCATTCGAGAATTATTTAGTCTTATAGCTAGCTTTCGCTGTCTCAAGGGCGTTCAATACCATATGTTATACACCAATATACCTTCTGTTATAATGCAGAATTTATACCTCCAGGTTTCCTATTTTGCATTTCTTGTACGTTCTAAAACTTTTGAGTTAAGTAGCGATTATCACCGTTCGATTCTTATACAATCGAAAGATAATTGGTTAAGGATAATTTTAGAACTGGCCGAGCCTTGAACATTCAACGGTTAGTTGCACTAATTTCTTGTCTGTCCAGTAAATTTGGAATAAGAATTGAGAAGATAACAAGTGGTTTATGCTTAGATTGATTCACGAATCTTGTGGTTACCTTTTTTAATAACAACGACAAATATCTCTGCAATCACACACACAAAGCAACATGATCCTTTACGCTTCTCCACCAAGCTCAATCATCTTCTCCAAACGCAATGCGCCTCAACAAGCCACGCCAAGAACGCCATCGCCCTCCAACTGTGCGCGCCAGAGCAGTCAAGAAGCGCCAAATGGAGCCAATCCGAAGCCACTATCACCATTCCCACGCTTGTTTTGCCACAACCGCTGTTCTTGCATATGCGGAAGGAGGCTTTTCATTGAAGCAGCAGCGACTTCTCTGTTCCCTCTAAGTTCTTCAATGGCTTCTTCTAATTCATCCTCTGATTACACAGTGCGTATTTTCTATCTAAGCACACTGATGGGGTTTTCTCCTTATCCAGTTTCCTACTAAAACCCAGATGGTAAAGTTCGTTAGCTTTGTTGTGTATAGGCTATATTGAACAGGGTTCATCCTCCTAAGCCAGATTGGTACGAGGATTTCTACGCGTCTGTTCTAGCTAATGGCATGAAATTGTACGAAGCGGAGGTTGGAGCTAACTTACGTTACAATTGATTACAATTTGTGAGTCGCTAACATTGTTTTCTATGTTTTTTGCAATCTTTCATACCTAGATTGCCGATTACAAGTCCCAGATGTTTGCCACTTTAAGAGGGAAAGCCCAGAAAGTCCTGGAGATCGGAATTGGCGCGGGTCCTAACCTTAAATATTACGCTGGTGAAGAAGGTATGAAGGTTTATGGTGTGGATCCAAACCCCAAGATGGAGAAATATGCTCGCGAAGCAGCACAGAATGCTGGTCTGCCAGCTGATAACTTTGAGTTTAAACAAGCGGTATGGCACTATATAGAACTCTGCTTCCTTACTGAACTTCATAGAATTATTGATAGAAGCAGAGCAGTGATGTCAGGTCCTTGTCTTTGTTATTGAATGTGAAAACCTTTCTGATTTAGGTTAATTATTTGACCCATGAACATCCCAGTTGGTACAAATGGGTTTCATTTTTTCAACATTATTGGTTTGACAAGCCTGATGGATAGGGTAACTTCCATTGTATTATCAGTAAAGTTCTGTGCCTTTTTACCTACTTTGTTTGACGAGAAATGTTGTGTTTCTGAGGTATTAAAGCCATTGAATGCATCCTTAGAACTAGAAGTTGATATCAATTTGTAGGAGTTTGTGCTTTCAAGGTTTATATTTGAAAAATGATGTTTACTCGTTACGGAACTTTAGATTTATTGATATCTATGATCTTTGGCTAGGTCGGGGAGGCTATACCATTACCCGATGCTTCTGTCGATGTTGTCGTTGGAACACTCGTCTTATGTTCTGTGTCGAATGTCGACATGACTCTAAAGGGTAATACCTTCTTTTCATTATAGTTTGGTGGAGAATTTGACATCTTTTAGTTAGATGAATGATGTTTCCAAAACTCTGAAACTTCAAATAGGCAACTTCATAGAACGGAATCTGAGAACTGAGATTGACTTTGCTTCTGCCTTTTGGAAATCTGTCGATTGCTTGATTGATGATAGCGTAACAATGTATAGTTGCTTAAGAATTCAGGCAGGAGAAGAAAAACCATGGATTTAGCTACGATAGCTTATGCTCAAAGTGAACAATATCATACCATTGTGGAGGAATGTGATTCCTAACATGGTATCAGAGCCACGTACTTAACTTAGCTATGTCAATAGTATCCTCAAATGTCGAACAAAGAAGTAGCGAGTCTCGAAGGTGTAGACAAAAGTGACTCAAGTGTCAAACAAAGGGCGTACTTTGTTCGAGGGCTCCAGAGAAGGAGTCTAGCCTCGATCAGGGGAGGCTCTTTGAGAGCTTCATAGGCCTCAAGAGAGGCTATATAGTGTACTTTGTTCGAGAGGCGGATTGAGGATTATTGAAAGGAGTAGTTCCACGTTAGCTAATTAAGAGGAAAATCGTGGGTTTATAAGTAAGAAATACTATCTCCATTTGTACGAGGCCTTTGGGAGAAACCAAAAGCAAAACCACGAGAGTTTATGCTCAAAGTAAGCAATATCATATCATTGTAGAGATCCGTGATTCCTAATATTTTACTTAAGAGACTGTCAAATAGACTAATCGAGTTCTTGAATCTCAACAAAAGCTGCATTTCTTTTGGTGGTGTGCAGAGGTGAAGAGGGTTCTGAGACCCAATGGACTATACATATTCGTCGAACACGTGGCTGCAGAAGGTATAACACCGAATCTTACCTACTCATCGGTTCGGGAAAACCGCTTATTTAGACATAACATAACCAATGGGGCACTTTTGTTATTGTTGTTGTTGTTGTTGTTATGTCGATGTAGAAGGAACCGTGCTTCGGTTTGTACAAGACGTGCTCGATCCCCTACAGCAGTTAGTTTCTGATGGATGTCACCTCACCAGGAGGACAGGGCAGAGTATAAGTGAAGCAGGGTTTTCAAATGTTGATCTAAACATGGCTTCCTTCTCTAATGCTGCCTTCATAAATCCCCAAGTTTTTGGAGTTGCTCATAGATGACAAGAAATGGAACACGTTCCCACATTTTCATTGTCTTCTTCTTCTATGCTTTGTTTCTTTGCTGCAGGCCCATGATTGAAGCAGGAGAAACACTGATAACTCAACCATGAGCTTGAATATCCACATCTTCAGCCCCCCAAAACGATTCTTTTACCGTCCGTTCATCTCTTCCACCGGTCGGGTCAGGTCAGAGTAGAGACTGAGAAGCCTTCTCCATTTCTGTTTCCGTTCTCGCCTCTTAATTCATTTTTTCATATTTGGCAAAAATTTTCATTTATTTTTACGGGAATTGGGCGTAGATTTCTAGACAGTGAATTTACAGGAGTGTGTGCTCGTATATTTTTCTATATATATACACTTTTTAAAAATTATTTATTAAAAAAAGATAATTTTTATTAAAAAAAATAAAAGATCATCATCGATCCCAAAATATTTTTTTTAAGTAAAAATATATTATCGTATTCTACCTACTTTCTACCTATATATATAAAATGGGACGGGAAAATGTAAACCTTACTCGTTTGGGTAATAGACAAATAAATATTCTCTATTTCCGTTGTCGGTTTAAAAGAAAATTATTTGTTTACTTATAAACTCTAATTCTATTTTTGTATTTATTTATATTTGAACTAAAATTAAAAAATAAAAAAGTATATGCAAGTAATGATAGAATTAATTATAGAATGTGATATTATTTTAGAATATCTCTAAATAATATGCTATTCAACATGTATTTATATATAATTAATTATCCTATGAATTCTTACAATAATATATAGATTGAATGAATACTTTTGACAAAGTTGTTGAGTTTGATTATTAATGCAATTATTGGTACCTATTTAATCTCCTAACTAATAAATACAACAATCATAGCCTAAAAAAGAAAAATACATATTTTATTAAATTATAATAATTGTATTTTTTATTTAAAAAAATAGTTTAATTTTTGTTTTGCATGCAAATGATTGCTTTAATGGCAAAACTTAGGATATATTACTTGTCCAAAATTATAAATAAAGAATTGCGTGAGGACTTTACTGCAAAGTTTCAGATATTTAAGGGGTGTCAATGCAATTTCGAGCAACTTTAACACCCTTTGCCAAAAAGTTCCTAACTCCTTTCTGGCTGCACTTATACAAACAAAGCTTACAGGTCTCCTCCCTTCGTCTCCGACAAACTAGGGTTTTCTTTCCGTTCCGACAGCCGGTGATTGGTGTCGCTCGGGCTTTCCCTTCAGAATCGATGCTTTTCTGTCTCTGAAAATGTAAGGACCTTTTTGTTCCTCGAAGCTTTGTGTAATTTCGTCCTTTGTTCTTTGAAGAACTGTTTTGATTACTGCCCTAAACTTTAGGCTCAATTTTTTGTATGATTGTTTCTCTGTGTTCGTTTTCGTAAGTGCGGAAGCCTTTTTCCCCTTTTTTTTTTCGTTTTCTTTTTATCTTTTTCCCATGGTCCATGTTCTGTGTCTTCTTTTCTCCTTCCATCTTTCTTCGTGAATAGTTTTCGTTTTCTAGTGCTTTACTTTTACCTCTGCAATTATTTCGTGTCAAATTATTGTGGATTCTTGTTTATTTCGCCTTCAATTTTCGAAGTCTGGGTTTCCTATTCTGTAGATTTCATTTATGGTTGTTGAACATATATGTATATAATTACAGGGAATTTGTAAGCTGGCTTGTTCACCTCTGATTTTGATTATTTGATGATATTCTGGTTTCATTTAATTTTTGGGCTTCCTTGGGGGTGGGGGTGCTCGAGGTCGATAGTTCTGTCTACTATTTGCATGATTCTTTGCTTATAATGTATGTTGTTTACCTGTTTGCAGTTCATAACTTCATAATGTGCTCGTTAAATTGCCTATGCGCTTTCTTACTGTTGGCTTGATATGGTTATGACTTATTATGGCTACCATTTTTTTTTTTTCTGATGGCAGTTAAGCTGTGGTTGGCTCATGACTTTGTAGAGATTCTGGGACATAACAGAGTCTGTGCTTGTTATCTGTTGGAGAGAGTAAAGGCATTTGTGAATTTTTTAGTAACTTTAGAGGTCGTTCGCTTATCGGAGTGTGGATTTTGGCTTCCAAATGTTGCTGTATTTCACGATGTAGCTTGAAATAAAGAAGTATACGACATAAAAGTAATTTAAGTGGCATGATTTCTGGTTTGTGTTTTAAGAGTTGAGCACGGGCAGAGACTGTCTAAGGAAGCTGATAGCTAAATGGGGTCTCTCTGTTGTGTGGCTGCGAGACCACATGGATCGAATGCAGCTAGCAGGGATTGGTCTCTGGGTCCTCACGAGCCTTTCTGGCATACAAATACAAGCTTTTCACCACCACCATCAAGATGGGATATCCAGTTTCAATCTGATGGGTTGCCACATGGTTGGCATGATGGTGTGCAACTGTATGGGTCATCTACATCATCTAATAGTAAAGAAAGTCGCAGCTGGATAAGGGGCAACAACCATCTTTATGCTCACACTTCTGCATCTGATGGTGCTGGGTTGTTTTTGAGTAGTCCATCTGACATCTCACAAGGCCCTCAATGGACACCTCCAGCAATTCAGGAAATCAATATTGATGGTCATGAAACTTCAACCAAAAGGGGTACTATTACTGTTATTACATCATGTTTTTCTGTAACCATATCTTTTCTCTCATCATTGCGGGTGCATATGAAACTTCACGGGCAATTGAGTAATCTGCTGTTGAATTCAATGTCTTTCTTGGGCTATATTTTTCTGGGTTCTAAAAGAGTAGAATTGTTACTTTCTTATCATGGTAGAATCATTACCTAATGGTGTATGTGTGCTTGCTGCACTCCCAAACATGGGGGGGGGGGGG